ATCACAACGTACACAGCCATTGGACTTGCAAATGTGGTTTAGTACGAATTCTCGTTGGTGCATCTTTCAATAGAGGTTGCTAGGTAAAGTTATCTTACGATGAAATGCAAAGGAAATACCATACTAATCAACTAGTTGTAACTCATTGATGATGTTCAACGCCACCATAAGTTACTGCATCTATTGCCAGCCAGAACCTTAGAAATTTGAATTGATACTTACAAACGATGCAAACCAAACACGTTCTAAATTGCATTTTGGCTTGAATTCATGCGACAACTAAAGATACTGAAATTCTGGAATATTACTAAGAACTGTACTTCAATAAACTAACTGAGTAGTTCACTGAAGGTAGGGCATAAATTTTGGCTTGAGGTCTTCAGCCTATCATGACGTAAGTGAGTTCAGACGTAAGAGATGGACAGAATAGATTTAAATCAGCCGGTGGTTGGCGGTTAAAAAACAACAGAAAGAAAAAGCAGTCACGTGAACAGATGTACACTGAACTAGATTAAGCGGAAATGGTCAGATGACGCTGTGCACGTGCACGGTGCATACGACTGCATCACAGCGAAACGTTTGACCATGTGTTTCCACTTGATAAACACGAACGATAGGAAAAGCAAATGATCCCCATCATTCCTACGGAAGTTCATATGGAATACGGGCAATGCTTGGTATAAAAAACAGTACGGAACAACGATTAATAAACTTTCAGGCTGAAGCTACACATGAGACGCAAGCTAACGAGCGCTATCTGGTCACTTGACGATCGATATCTTTCCATGGCAGCAAAAAATTGGTCGGAATTGAATAAAATGCTATTCGGTATTCGTCATATGTAGTCCATGAAGTTAGCCATCCAGCGAAGTGAGCATCGTCACAATAAGCAAATAAAGCTTTATTTCCTAAGCTAGAGTGAAGTGTGAAAAAAGCGGATCTAATGTATACCAGGACAGTAGGAATTTCGTTGAGGACATTTCAGATAATCGGAAAAGCTGACGGTACGTATTGAGGAATGGTCCCTTCAAACTCAACTCTGCGTTTCTAGGTCCGAACCATCAGTTAGTCATTCTCTGAAGGCGCTGTGGTGCTACTGAAATCCTTGAACGCTGTCAAACAAGGTAATGCTTGAATAGCGTTATAAAACTGTACATAACGTAGGTACTTGCGGTTTTGGATGAGAACATGAATTCCCTTGAGGGGGAACAAACCGAATCCGTGAATAATGGTGAGATTTCTAAGGGTGAATTCTCTGACACCAAATAAGTTTTGTTCGACAGCGCCCCTCCAGACCTGTTCCAATCAAGTGTGACCTACATGGTGGCAGGAGAAATGATCACTAAATCGACTTCAGTGGGGGCAAATGGTTTTTCCAATAAGTCATCTAACAGTGCGCAATCCTCGCTTGTGCGGTGTTGTTGTGCAATCGATATGCCGGGGTTGTGTCCAGTATCATAAAAAAGCACGTTTACGCGGACTTACGTGCTAACCTAGGGTAAAGTGTTGATAACAGGCGAGTAGACCATCTCGTAGGAATATGTAAGCCAGCTATTCCACGCATCAAACTCTTGAACATACTTAGTTGATATTAAAGATGAAGACATGCTGAAGTTATGTACAACAGCTCTTCTGGATCCTCCGAAACCATGATCGACTTAATATAGTGCTCGGGATTATTACTGAGCCACACGGTTTCAAAGTAAAGTTCGTAAGCTGGCACTTCATTAAACACATCCAAATAATGTTTGAACCAATGGGTCAAGAACTTATGTGATCACGGCATCTTGATTCGTGTCTATGAACGACTAGCTTCACTTAGTGGATGGTCATCATTTCAGCATCAGTGCGAAGTATTTAATGAGGGGATGGAGCATTGCAAGTAAAGTTGGCTTGAACAACATATGAATTGGGCGGTATGGAAAGAATGAATACTTTCGCATTTAACGAAGAGTGGGTTGTCGGAATTGAGTTGTCAAGCCACACCCGGCGGTATGGCACATTATGAAAACCATCATTGACCACCATTTACTGGACCCGTTGTCATGTCTTCCTATAGAGCATAGAATATTATCAATATGCAGTGAGTGTATCACTATGAATTTACCAACTAATGTAGTTTGAGTTCACCTCAGCTTAGAGGAGGTTTGAATCATTGTTCTCCGCGAGAAGAGACAATCCATCATTAAAGAATTGCTACACAGTGCTCGCTCTTTGCAAAAATCCTCTAACTACGCAACACCCTCTTCTTCAAGAGATCTATAGCGAGAAACTACTCAGTGCAAACTACTCAGTTCAAACATTCAAATTTAACTGAAATGCGGCAAAACTGACTCCCTACCAGAGCGCCGATTTCCCTCTGACTGTTAGTGCAAGTTCATAAAACAACCAGGGCACTGGAGAATAACTCTAAGAACGTCTGACGTGGGCTGCTCAATAGCTGGAGGTTAATGAAGTTTCTTCAGAAAGCCCCACATTAGGTGGAAGGTGCTACCTAAATAGTGAAACGGAACATGTGTGGGTGTCATTACAGATGTCCTGACCTAGAGCCATGCGCCTTTCACACTTTTTTCCAACTATCGATCAGAACGTAATCTCGATCTGAATGGAACAGCACTGATACCCCGTATTTAAAAAAACTGAGAACATTCCTGTACCAGCACCTAATAGTTTCTCTGATCTAAAGAAACTTTGTGATCGTTAGAGCATAATTCACAGTAAAGCATTGTGAGTGAAAGACTGTCACGATTCTTTAACTAAGTCTTAGTAAGTATCCACTGAAGCCGTTACAAATTAAAAGCAAATACTTTCAGTATATTCTTGTCCTTATAAATTCCTCTACGCTGGTAAACCTAATTAGTCTCGTATGAGTTGTGATTCCTCTCAAGTCAAAATTCCAAGTGGGCAGTAGTCCAAAGTAAGGACCAATTTCAGGGCTGTACTTCGCGAGTGTGTGCTTTACATACAGTTATTCGATAAACATACGGCGTCAGATTAGGAGAGTGGAACTTCATGTTACTTGTAAGTTTCATTAAGGGATTGTAGAAAGAGATGAGAATAAACTCAAATAAGGTTATGCATCAACAAGTCCGTAAGAGTTACATATAATAATCCGATAATAGGAAGTTGCCTTCCATCATAGTACTTTCAAACTGATAGTAGGTTCAGCTTGACAGAGCTCGCGATAGTCCGGTGGTTAAGGCGCAAACTTACTGATCGGTAAGTGCGTGATTCGAGCCCAACCTCTGCATCTCGACTGCTCTTGTCTAGGTTTGGGCAACATAACTATATTTCGTCCCTCGAATGTCTTCCGGGGGGGGGGGACGTGGGAGATAGATGTCGGAAGAGTGTTGCAGCTGAACAACAAACTGATAGTATTTGTAGAATGCAGGCGTCAATTTACTGGATTTCATGAGGATATTTTTTAGTTGAGAGACACTATATTGCTTACACCTTAAATAATCAAAGTGAGCAATTTTATTCCTTTCATTTTTTTCTTTGCGGTAGGCAGCCCTCCAGCTGACAACATAGGTTTGGTCCCTTCATTTAGTACCCAACAAGACCACTGTGAAACTGCTTGTCTAACTCAAGAATGAACTCATTTCACGGCGCTTGAACTCCAAATACATTTTAGTGTTGATATGAGCAACGACTGATTTTTGACAGCTTCAGCGAAAAAGGTTGTTTATGCGTGAAAATGTCCCTTTGTAATTTTCTCGACGGAACAGGGTTACTGAAGGCTCTTCAACAATCCAGGACCGGCTTTATCCTTCTTAATTCTCCTCAGGTAGGCACAGTCCCCGAGTTTCCGTCAACCTTCTATTATCTTTAAACACTGAATGGTCAGAGATTGTCGAAAGCGTTTAGCTGTAGCACCCTTTCGGTGCCTAGCTGCCATGCCATCCAAAGGAAGCACGAGGGCTGGGATACTGCCAGGTTGCCCAAGTCTAGACAGGGGAAGTCGAGTGGCGGAGGTCGGATTCGAACCACGGACCTTCCGGTCAGTAAATTTGCGCTCTAACCACTTGGGCCATCTCGCCCCGATTGGCGAAATACACTCACATTTTCAAATTGCTTCGGTGCTAGCAACCACTGATGAAGAGTCTAGCCGTCGATCATTCTTTACTTGTATTTGGGGAAGTTAACAAACCGTACCAGCCTCTTCAGCATGCTGAGAAAGGAGCCACAATGAGCATGTCATCTAGACTCATTGTTTTGTTGACGGGAAAAGTGAACAATGTGCCGCTGACTTTTAGGAAAGCTTAATGTTGTCACCAGATTCGAATCTCCCGCAGAGTAAATACTAGTCACAACCAGCGAGAATTTTTATCTTACGCACATGGAATACACCATAATGTCAGTGAAACTAAACTTCCAGCTAACGGAAGCAAAACCAAAGTAGATGCAATCCTACCATCGACAAACCAGCAAATGTTCCAAAACTTGATTTTGGATCAGTTCATTTGCTGGTAACAAATGTGGACTTATTTGAAGGTGCATACTCCAGGTAACCTTTGGAAGCCTCAATGGCCTGGTTAATTCACTGCATGAGGGAAATTGCCAGAGCGTCGGCACAAAACGTTTGAGTCTTGAACCATAAACTGATGCTCCACTTGAGTCTAAATATCACTCTTTAGCAAGTTTGGTACCCGCATTATTTTTCTACCGCACACCGAGCCGTCATCACATGGGATCAGATCTCTGTACTCAGTACATCGCCATGATAATTAAGTGTGCAAAGAAATGACGGACACTGGCTTGTTTGCTTTCCGTTTCCAACCTTCAACTTTCCTGAGCTATCGAACATGGCTGTGGGCAACAATTTGCTATCATTTTCTCATATATTTTCTCAATGTTTCGCCAGTATTTAGCACCAAGGCCACACAATTTACCATATCCATAGTTTTTTCAGGGAGAAACACCAGTGCCCTTAGTTGAAAAGTGGCATGCAAAACTAGTCTGTATCAAAATCCTTGTAATGCAATCAATCACCATACTGGTCAGGGCGATATAAATGAAGACGCAATCTCAGTGGAAGCCCAATAGCCATCATATCGGCAGTTTGGCAATCCTCTGTTCAGTTCGCGTAAAATATAGGCCGGTACGCGGGAATAGCGCAACCGTTTGAGAAGCCGGATACGATACTGTCCGATATATATGCCGTGAATTGGTTGAGCACTTCGTTGTAGCAGTTGACAGTCCATTACATACACACGTTCACTGATTTGCTGTCGAGTAAGAAGCTGTAATGGAAGGAGCGAAATATATAGGTTTATTCTTGGCAACACAAAATCAGTCTTTTGTTACCTCTGGACGTAATTACATTAACAAAATTAACCAATACGGCCAATACTGATCAGTAAATATACTCACACCTGTTTTCTTTTAAAATATTTTCCCTAACTCCAATGACGTTTAAAACAACTAGTTGACTCATAAATTCTTCAAAGAAAGGACTTAGCAGGCTGCTAACAATACATCGTGATTAACCGTGTCTAGTATGGTTACCTGTGTACCGATCCGTGCCGGATTCATCATACGTTTATGAGAAATGCTTGCACCACTGTTCCTTTTCTCGAAGTCACATTATGGATATTCTGAGTATTTAGGAGTCCAACAGGCTGACACGAGCTTGTGGTCCGCATCAGCAGCCTGACTTCTACTGTTTCATATCGTTAGGACCAAACTCGCTCTATTTTGGTATTTGTTATTCGAAGTCTGGGAAAGTAATTAACAAGAGTAACAGCCTGCTCCGTGGTTGATATTAGAGTACGAACCACACCTACAGATAGTTAATTCTCAAGAAGCAGGAGCTCCCTCTGTCTAAATCTTTGGCTCACGGGGTGGTGCCATCCTAGTAGACCGGGAATCATTGGAGCCGACCTCTTTCCCGTGGGTTACCTAACTGAGT